TATATACATATATATCCATATATATCCATATATATAGGTATCTCTATGGCACTCGGTTTCGTATTAAATGTATGTTTCAATTAGCTTGTACACGATCCTGGTGCCTCTATGTATCGTTAGTAATATATGACAGAATGCTAAGTTTTTTGGCATTGTGAAATGAAGCACATGTTACAAATACGTGCTATAGCCGAGTGTGTTTTTGAAACAATTTTCTTTTGCCTATGTATTGTGCATGACCATATTCAATTGAACTGAAAATACATCTTGAGTGATCTAGAGAAAGAGTTTCAGTTTGGTTTATACGTGGAAATATATTCTCACGCTAAATACTGATTACTTATGAGGTAGCCTTATATCCTTTCATTTCTGTCGGATTGAAAATGTGCATCGTTTCTTGTTCACAAAGGTTTAAATCTCGTGTTTTGCTGATTGTGTACGTTTCCAACTATGTATGCTTGTGCATACTCAGATTGTATGAGATTCTGGGTCTATTATAACGCAAATATCAGCCTAAAAAAATTCCTGTATGCGCTTGGAAGTAAAAGTTGTTACCTCGAGTGTAGTCACATGTGTCATGTGGCTCAGACGCTTGCATATGTGCTAGGTTTGTTAGATAGTTGGTACGATATACACGTGTAAAGCTATCTTTCATTGTACTGACTGTGCCAAAGCCGGCACTCACTAGGGACAGATTGTTTAGGTGTGTGTACGGTTGCACTTGACACTTCGCGCGTTCTCTATATCTTGTGAGGCGAGACCACTCGTATCGATATATGCGTTAAATGGACGGACTACCACTCCACCAGAGGTACAGACTATTGTATTAGCATGCCATCGATTGGGTTACGAGAATTAATTCCGTATATTCTGTACTCCTGTGCTATCCCCAACAGGATGTCCCAATCACCCACGAAAACTGGACGGATGTGCTGGTGGAAGAGTTCAAGTACATAGTAGGCTCGTCTGCGTGCATGGGAGTGCTACAACGGGCCGTGAGTACGCTTGTGATCTCCGGCGAACAATGTGCGGCGCAACCGACCTTTGTGGAGCGAATGCTAGACAGGCTACAAGTACTGCCGCTGGAACGGTGTGTGCTGGCCGCATGTCTGATCACCAGCGAACACGCCCACATCTGCCACCAGGGCAAGGAGGCCTTCTCGCATGCCTGGCGAGCTGTGCACAAGTCGAGTGAGGATGACAAAGGCGAGGGGCAGGGCGTGGACCTGTGTGCCGTAGGCGTAGTGTTGAACCTGTTGCACTGGGCTCCCGAGTCCCACCGCGACGCTGTGCGAGACCGCATGGTGACGGAGAGTGCGCGAGAGTCGCGGATATACGCACACAACAGTATCATCCTGGCCGATCCGTCGGTGAATGCGTTGCTGCTGTTGCCCGATGACGATGTTCCGCCCTCGATGCAGACGTTGGCTGGAGGGCCTGGGTTGGAAATGGATATCGTGCCGGACGCCGATGCACCGACTCCGGTATGCTGGGTGGGTGTGGGCGCGCGCGTGCGATGAACGCGTGTATGCCAGTGTTTATCTGTTACATTGTATACGGTGACTGGCGTTTAAGAAGTTTTGTTTTCGGTTAGATTCTGAATGCTCTTCTCGTCTTGCACAAGTGGATGTGTGGTGGTAGTAGTCACCTTCAGTTAGATTCTGAATGCAGTTATCGTCTTACACAACTGGTTGTGCGATGTAAATGACAGGCGATTCTACCATACTTTGTGGTTGTGTTGGTTAGTACATACTCTGTGGTTGTGTTGAGTAGCACATTCTTTGTGGTTGTGTTGGTTAGTACATACTCTGTTGGGTAATGCATACTCTGTGGTTGTGTTGGTTAGTACATACTCTGTGGTTGTGTTGAGTAGTACATACTTTGTGGTTGTGTTGGTTAGTACATACTCTGTTGGTTAGTGCATACTATGTGGCTGTGTTGGTTAGTACATACTCTGTGGTTGTGTTGGTTAGTACATACTCTGTGGTTGTGTTGGTTAGTACATACTCTGGTTAGTGCAAACTTTGTGTTGTGTTGGTTAG